AGAGAGAGAGAGAGAGAGAGAGAGAGAGGGAGAAAGAGAATTAATATTGATTACACTGTTGTAGATTTATGCAGTCTGTTTTGGGTGTGGTGAAATATCGCAGAATCAAGGCCTGATTTTGTCGGTCAAACTTACTGGAGAGTACATGCCAGATGGTCCAGAATAGACTGGTCCGGCTTTGTCTCCACTGTTGATAGCTTGTTGGTTCTGGATAGATTCCTGTGAAATAAATAATACCGTAATATAAGTTTTCTCTTATCATAATCATCGGCCCCTTGCGGGATTCGAACCCACAACCTCACGGTTGAGAATCCGAGAGCTAACCACTACACCTCGGACACCTCTGAGATGTTAGCTCGATGGTGGCTTCTATCAGTAAACAATACGGAAAGAGTTAACAACGACCTTTTTTATATAAATAATATTTATAGCATTCATAGATGTGAAATTAACTGATTGCTTTAGGAACCAGTAAGGCCAAGTATGCAAGCATGATTAAAGTTATGATTAAAGATGCATATTGTAGTTTACAAATGCATCAAGTCCAACCGCTCACTCACTTACTCTCTCCTTCATAATGCATGTCTCTCCCTCACGCACCCGCGTGTTCGCTTTCGTATCCCCTCCCATACATTCCCACCCACCCGCCAAAAAAACTTAACAATTTGATCAAACTGTCGAAAGAAATGGCCGCCAATGAAGCCAAGTCTGGTAGAGAAAAGTTTGCTTCATTTTGAACGTTTAAAAGCTTCCATTTCACTCGTTGCTGTGAACAGCTCGTAGGCTTCTCTCTTGGCCTCAGCATTACTTCTTACATTTTTTTAAAAACATAATAATATTATTATCATTTGTTCCCATTCGTCCACATGTATACATTTTCACACGTTGGTAGACGTTTAGATACATTTGTACACATTTGTAAACGTTTGTCCTCTCATGTACTCACGGTGTTTGCAGCAGCCTCTCCTCTGCTTCCTCTAGATGTCTCTTGGGCGATGCCTGGAGACAAAGGTAGATGGGAAAAGTTTCTCAATGATAATCGACGACTGGGATTGCACTAGCGTAATGTTGATGGTAAATTATTGTCTATTCATCTTCAACAGCAATCTAAGTAGGGAATGTTTTACAGTATTCTATGGTGTGCTTGGGTAATGATAGTTGTAAAGTGCGTAGAGCATGTTGTAGAGCACTGAGATGTGCTTTATAAATGCAGTTATTATTTGTAGTGTTGTTGTTATAATTGTAATTATTATTATTACTATCATTACTATTATTACGATTGCTATTATTAATATTATCATCATTGTTATTACAATTACTGATGTTGTTATCTATCAACATATCTCCGTATGACTCATAGGGCATGGAAACTCTCAATTGACACCAGGTCAGTGATCTTCCTCAAATGGTGAAAGGAGATCGGGGGGG